ACACACACACACACACACACACTTCCCATTGTTTGCGTAAGTACCTTACGTATTATAAGTCTTCTTCTACTTTTTTTATGACAATCATTATTGATTGTGAATAAAATATAATTTAGCCTAATGTTTTCGTTGACTCAGCAACATCTCAGAATTACTGCTATCAGCTGATTAAATTGTGACTAGATGGCGACCAGCACTCCCCATCATCTAATAGTGTGTTATGAATGAGATTGATGGACCGGATATATAACGTAATACGTTATTAAAAAAAGACATCGTGTCCCCAAGAAGCCTAATGCATCAACCCTTTAACTCTCCTTTATTAAAATGATACACTATTTCATTAATGAAAGCGCAATAACATCATTATATATTCAGGATGTGAAACTGCAGAGGACAAGCGGTTCTTATTGTTTTCAAGATTTGTATCTCATTACATTTAGCAGATGAAGAATCAACTCTGTTTCCGTGATTTTATAGAGTAAACAACTACTTTTTGAAAACCTGAATATCAGCATTATATTCACTTTTAAATAAACATGTTGTGTAGCCTAATGAACTTGTGTAATGCACATAATGGCTACTTTAAGTGTAAAACCGTCAGCCCCGTTACACTTATAATTTATAGACTCATATCTGTGTCCCATAGAACGTTTACAATCTTGAATAAATTTACTTTGACAATCATATTTCAACTCATCACATTTTCACAATTTCATTTTCCATGTGGTGCAGTGGGCATCAGTAGAGGTGGGTCATCATAGAGTTTCTCAGTGAAGATGTTTGCAGCCTGTGGCTCGGTTGCGTCCTCGTGTCTATACGCGTCTGATCGGCACACAGTTCTTCTGAGATGATCGACGCTTCCCGCTGACCGCTCTTTCTCTCGGCGCCTCCTCTACTAATAACGGAGAGGACTGACTCAGTGGTTGGTGGTTGGAGGTTCAAGCTCATAGAGATCCTGAGCGGAGTCCCCAACTCTCCCCAGAAGCTCTCCATCATGCTCCACGCCTGCTGATTCTGAAGGAGAAGACTTGCTGGGATTGCTTACAGAGACAGGCATGCGACAGAAGGTGTGCGTGTTTCCGCGGACTCGTCCCGGCGAAGATGCGCTGGAGTGAAGAGACGCTCAGCTGACAGCAGCGTTAACTTTCACGCCAAACGCGGACATCTGATCATCCGCAGTGCCATGAGAGCGAAACTGGCGATTGTTTTGGAGTCTGTGCACGTGGTCCCACTGGATTGACTCCGGATCATGCTGTGACTGACAGCTAGCTTCAAATTAAATCAAACCGCTGGACTTTATTGCGCTTGAAACCTGTGGTCCAGGTGGATTATGAGATGCTACTGGAGTCTCCAGGATGCTGTGAGACCACGAGTGGCGTGATGAGAAGTTCCGTGTTGGTTTCGGAGAGTTGTGAACGCAACTTGAGGGCTCAGGATGTCTCAGGGACTCTGCGATGGATTTTGCACTAAAACCTGCACATTTACCCAGAGAGATAGAGGTTGATAGTCCTCACGTTTTTAGAAGGATCGCTGATTCTGGAGATACTTGGCGCATATCGGTCTGAGGTTGTGATGCACTCGTGGACGGAATGCAATTTAAAGAAGACTCAGTGGATGTTCTAAAGTTGCAACATTGGCATATGGAAATATGAAGATATTTAGATCATGCATGTAAAGACAGAACCAGACAACGAACATCACGTTGCTTTATCAGGGTAATGGATTCGGACAGCGTGTGTTTTTCTGTCAGTTTCCCTTGTAAGCACATTATTATACTGACGTACATGATCAAAACATATGCTTTATGAATACAGAAATGGCTTCTGCACAACTCCTAATAATGCGCTGACTTGATAGTGCTTTGATTTCTAATATAAAGTTGAGAATCATTGAAGGTCTTCTACTCCTCAGTAGATGATTGACGTTTCAACAGGTGACTGAGGTAAAGCATCTCTGTATCTCTATGCATGCAGTTTCAGTTTGTTCAGCATATATTGCATAAGTTGCAAGTACAATGTTATATGTAAATCAATTTAATAAGCTAATTTTATTCTCTGTAGTTTGAGGAGTTTTCAATTGAGGCGAAGAGAGTAAAAATCTCACATTTGGTACTGAAATGAAGTTTCTCTTTTTATATATATATTTAGAAAGCGTGTAATTTTTGTATGTAGTCAGTTTTTACCACATTTTAGATGAGGCTAAAACTGTCTGAAGATTTTGAAGCCATACCCCATTATAGAAACAGTTATATATGTATACTTGAAAGTATATATTAAGTGTATATACATTTAATTCACGTTTTCAAAAGTTTTAGTAATGACAAAAATGAAATGAGTTAAATTGACAAAGTTGCCAAGACTTTCACCTGAGGTGGTTACTATAGCAACGGAGCACGTTTCTTAAGGATCTGTATCATGCGGTAATGTTGACAAAATATAAGTAGCCTACTGTCATTACTTGTCACTTTATTATGCATAAACACATCAGAAATACATGGCGCTAGATGAATCTCTGATGGCGCTACAAGATTAAGAAAGTAGACCTCCCTGGAAGACGCACTGATTGTAATTCCACACTGGTTTTCATAATGATAATTAGCCTACCTCTTAAAAAATAATAGTTCTTATATTCTAAATAATCCATCCAGTAGCCTACTTTTGACATCTTTTGAAATTATTTCTTTCTCATTTTAATTTATACGTTTCTGTGTTTTTAAATGTTCTAGGTTCAAATCCCAGATTTTCAATGTGGTCTCATTGTAAATTATTAGTAATAAAGACTGTATTCAGATGGAGTTACAATGCTAGATTCTGTCATTTTCACTCTGGTGTGTAAAGCTAACATGACCCTCTCTGCACTTACAGTGGTCCGTGCAAAATCAGAATGCTCGTGTTGGTATGAGAGCTTATCCCGTGGGTTTACAGTCGACCCGCTGTTCTTCCTTCTTTTCCTGCCCTGCTTCTCGCTGTCCACATGCAGGCAAAGAAGCGATACCTGCTGGTATCTGTTGGGGCCTGTAGCCTCTTACTAGCCTACCTGTGTGGCCTACAAATCGGTGAGTTCCAGAACCATGCTCAGCTTTATGGAGTCTCACAGATCGCCGGTGTCCCACCTCGGCCGCCCCGTTGGCCAGAATGGGTGCATCCTCCCCTGCAGACGTACCTTGGTGAGGCCGAGCAGGAAGAAGATGGACCCCTGCTTCTTCATCAACACACGTCTCCTCGCGAGAGACGAGAAATCCAGAAGAACATCTACAAGAGCCGGCGATGTCGCATGGAGACCTGTTTCGATTTCCAGCGCTGCGAACGGGGGTTTAAAATTTACGTGTATCCGCCTCAGAAAGGTGAAGCGCCCTCGGAAAGCTACCAGAAGATTCTGGCTGCCATCGAGGAATCGCGGTTCTACACGACAGACCCTAATGAGGCCTGTCTGTTTGTACTGAGCATAGACACTCTAGACAGGGACCAGCTGTCCGCTCAGTATGTACATAACGTCCGAGCCCGAATTCAAAGCCTCCCTCTGTGGTACGAAGGGAGGAACCATCTGATTTTTAACTTGTACTCTGGAACGTGGCCTGATTATACAGAGGAACTAGGCTTCGATATTGGCCAAGCCATGCTGGCCAAGGCCAGCACCGACATGGACAACTTTAGACCACGCTTTGATGTGTCCATCCCTTTGTTTTCAAAAGACCATCCTCAGAAAGGAGGGAGCAAAGGTTATCTGAATCTTAACAATGTCCCTCCCTTACGAAAATACTTGCTGGTCTTCAAAGGGAAGAGGTATCTAACTGGCATCGGTTCTGAAACCAGAAATGCTTTGTATCATATACATAATGGGGATGATATAATTTTATTGACTACCTGCAAACACGGGAAAGACTGGGAGAAACATAAGGATGCAAGGTGCGACATGGACAATGAAGAATACACGAAGTAAGTCCCAAGTTTTCCTGTCCTTATCACGCTGGTGTGAGGATTGTAGCTAGTCTTTAAAGAAATGGTTCACATAAACATGAGAAGTATATCTTCATGTTGTTCCCAACCTGTATGACCTTATTTCTTCTTTATTTGTCCATACAATGAAACTCAATGAGGGACAAAAGTGCCCTCAAAATATCTTCTTCTTTGGTCAGTGGAAGGAAGAAAGTCATATAGGGTTGGGACGACATGGGGATGAATAAATAATGACAGAATTTTCACTTTTGAGTGAACCATTGCTTTCATTTGTATGTGCAGGATTTGAAATTTCAGTGAAGCTACTGAGATGCAGATTGTTGTTTGCTCGACTCGATATGAATCTTCGATGGTGGTTTTACTTTTATGTTCATTTATGGTAATTTAAAGGTTAACCTGAGTAAACGCAATGGCAGTATTTAATGTTAGAGTGATTTAGACTGTTGATTGTTTTGTACTCTAGACTGTAGTGTTCATGTAGTTATCATGGGAATACTGCTATAAATGGAAGTGGTGTTGCATCTGTCTAGCTCAGGAAAAAAAAAGGTGCGGTGGAAAAGGACTCTAGGGGTCTCTTAGCCCGAAACAAAGCCAATCTTCATCTGTTTGTGACATTAATGTGAACAGTTTGTGTAAATGCACTGTTTTGCCGAGATTTATGTTATAGAGTGTAATTCTCTTCGGTACAATAATAAGAAAGTGATTGCCTTGAATTGTAAGGATGTGTGTGCAATGCAAATATTCTATTTCTTTAGCTTTATACACTGACCTCATGTGCAACTAGTAGCAATAATAGAAAGCATCTTCTATGAATCAAGCTTTATTTGTTAGATAAATATTGTGTTTATCAGTTTTTTTTTAACGTTTTAACAGATTTTTTTCTTTTTTCATTTTACTCTGTACTAGGACACATACATACCCTGGGTCTCTCACTTATGTTTATGAACACCTGGCTGGAACTATGTTTGGGAGAGACTATTACTATGTAATTACCATGTAATTACATAGGTGCAGTTGTATTTCCATTTTCTGAATGCTATACAAGAAAAAAACAGACTTACAAAGATATAGGTTACAGTGTGTGCTAGGGATCATGGTTGTCACAAGGAAAATCACACTGTGACAGAAGCAAAAAGCCGGAGTGTCGCTTTAAAATGTTAAAGTTGCAAATAAAAACAGTGCCTAAGATCATTACATTTTAACAACTGTCTATACACTATACAATTTTGAAAATTAAATTACAAAAACATATGGAAGTAATCATTTTTATATTGGTTGCCACAAGGAGAATCGCAATGTGACAGAAGTGAAAAGCCAGAGTGTCGTTTCAAATAGTTAAAGTTGAAAATGGTGCAAATAAACCAGTGTCAAAGAGCATTTAAACAACAGTCTACACACTATACACAGTTTGGGAATAAAAAAACACAGCATTTTTATATCAAATTAACCCTCATTTTCTCATTACATATTTATGATTTAGATGATGATGGTTCAGAACAATAGTTATAATTAAACCAGTAAGTACCACATATAGGACACATGAAATCAAAGCATACAGGATTACAACTAGGGCTGGGAATCGTTGGCTTCCTTGACTTCGATACCGGTTCCTGAATGATACTTTTTTCGATACCAATTTGATGAAATCCGTGTTTAATTTTTTCATCTTATTGACGTTTTTAGAGACTCAAAGACTGCTCTCCTGAGCCACTGCACAAAGGAACAAAAAAGCACAAAGGAACAAAATATAACCAACACAATAAATCAGTGCAAACAGTTTTAATAAAGTTCAAATAGTTTTCAGTTTCCACATCTTTTAGGCTACGTTTTCACTAGTGCGTTTCGTTTTAAAACGCATAGCTTAGACAGAATCATCATTTCTATTAATTTTCCACTGATTTACACGACCTGGTGAGCATTAGCTGCGCTACGCTTACACTAAGTGCGTTTTTGTTTTAAAATGCATAGCTTAGACAGAATCATCATTTCTATTAATTTTCCACTGATTTACTGACGAGCATTAGCTGCTTCCAGCGCTGTCTCAGTCTGTTTTCTCTTCCACGATTGCTGTTCTGACTCCGAGGAAGCTCAATCTGCTCATCTGTCACTCATATTACGCATTCATATCCTGTCCTATCTCCTTTGAGAACATCCATTACACTTCCGCATTGAGTTCTGTACATAAGGAACCCAGGAACATTTCCACGGATGAAACATGAAGCTAATAAAAACACGATTACAAGAGTATATGATTTGTATGTGATTGTCATGAGATTCTGTCTATTTTAATAACTATACAGGGTGTTTAGATGAGAAATGCTAAGCAGGTGTAGTGATTAGCTTAATATAAACGGCTACACAGAACATATTTCAGCAACATTATATGACCAAAACACACATTGGATTGCGATCAGAAGTTATTACAAACACTTGATGCTGGTTTATTAAAGTGAGTTTTGAATAAAAGCATAGTATACAGTATATCTTATAAATTGTCTCATGTAGCATGATGCTACATTGTGCATGAATGGTCACGCAACACACGTTTTCGGTCGTGTAGTGTGGATGGAGATCTTTCCTGAAACGCAGTGGAAACACCAGTATTGATGAGGATCATTTTAATTTTAAAACACTGTTTTACAACGAAAACGCACTACTGTAAACGTAGCCTTATATCTATGGGGGTCTGATGCTTACACACTATAGCCTCACGTATGAACCACGTCTCTGGGCGGAACCGGCGTAAACTAGTGTTTTTCCTGGATGCCTCACCAGAGCCAATCACCAGCACTTGATTTTGGCACATAAAGCATGCTGCATGCTTATTGGCTCACTGACGTTGACCAGATTAACCCCTTAGGTATCAAAATTTGGTACAGAACGACAATAAATTTTTTGATACTCGATAGTATCGAGGCAATTCGGTCGGTGCCTAAAAAGGATTGAACTCCATACCCAACCCTAACAGTTCAGATTTACTCCCTGGTTTTGAAATTAAATGCTCAACAAAGCAAATATGGTGTCGTTCAGGTGTCCTCATACTTTTGGCCATTCAGGGTGTGATTTGTTAAAAAAACAGAGGGGGGATGTTTTGAAAACTTTTTATGAAATGTTTTTAATACGACGGAAACTGTATTTAACGTGATCACAGTTTAATAAAAACATTGTACGTTAGGCCTTGTACGTTAGTATTGATACTGTAATGATTTCATTTCCACGGTTATTTCCACGGTTATTCTAACAACGAATAAATTATATAGAGAAAGCGAGCAAAGAACACAACGGATCTTTTTGAAACTCCGATTCAGTTAAACCATTGCGTCGCAAAATGATTCACTGTTTCAAAGCGCTGTAATCGAAATGATTCACTGTTTCGAAGCGCATCAATCGGCTCGCGTATCCAGAATCATTTGATTCAGATCGGGACTTCAAAGCGTGTATCGCAAATCATTTGATTCTGATCGGGACTTCAAAGCGTGTATTGTGAATCATTTGATTCAGATCGGGACTTCGAAGCACGTATCGCGATAAAAATAATTCAGCAGAGACAGGGATGCATAGACCAGAGAAGGGGGGGGGGGAATCCCCCCGGCAAATCGCACCCTGGGTGTATTAAAGAGTACTGCATTAATGTATAATGTAGTGTATTAAAGAGTTGGCAACATTCAACTTTTAAGTAATTGGTAGGTCATCAGACTGAAGAAAATAAGGTCAGAAGGTCTTGACTAGCAGACTCTTATACTTCAAATGAATTGAAAGGATTTTATAGAGGCAGAACAGTCAATAATTGGCCCTCATTTGAATTAAGCAGTAGCTTAGCGTCACAGAAAATACCAAACACACACACACACGCACACGCACACGCACACGCACACATCCTAGCATCACTTACTGCTCGTAGTTCGACCCACCCACATAGACACTGCATCATATTCTGTTGTATAAAATGTATAGTTTCAGATGTGTAATTTTATTTCAAACCTTTGGACAACTGGTTATGGTTATATACAATTGGTGATATGGTTATTGTGCATTGAGTAAAGGTTTTGTATAGTTTGTGCGGTTAAACAGGCCTGTGCTCTCAATGTTATATCTATTGTAGTAATGTGTGGTGCAAGTAGGCTAACTGGTCGGTAATGCATGGTTTTGCCACACTTTTATGATGAACAATAACAGGTGAGCCATGAGTTGGATCATTAGTGGCGTATTCTGCTTCTTAAAAGACTTGCTCTGAACAATTTAAGATTTTAGATTTTCCTATGTACTAAGACACGTGCATATCCTGGGTCTCTCTCTGATTTTTTTATGAACAGCCTGTCAAAAAGTAGGCTGAAACTATGTTTGCGGGTTTATATGAAGAACTTCATTGTAAAAAAGACATCAGTATCATATCCAACTTTGTTTTAGTTGTCCCTGATTCTATTGCGCTTTTGTAATGGTGGTATTACACAGTTATTACTGTGCAATTGCCATGTAATTACATAGGCACAATTGTATTTCCACTCTGAATGTTGCAATAAATAAAAAATATATTGTATGTGTGCTAGGGCTCATGGATTTCACAAGGAGAATCACATAGTGGCAGAAGCAAAAACCCAGAGTGTTGTTTTGAATTGTTAAATATGCAAATGTTGCAAATAAAAAACAAGAACATTAAATGTTAGCAGGCAATCCACTATGCAAATGTGGAAACTAAAAGTACAAGAAACATACGGATATAACCATTTTTATGACAAATTAACTCTAATTTTTATGGTGAACAATAACAGATGAGCCTTGAGTTGGATCTGTAGTGGCATATTCTGTTTTTTAAAACATTTGCCTAGCTCAGTAATTGAACAAGCTAGGGAAGCAATATAAATCATACATTACACAATCTTGGATCTGGCATGCAGGGTCCTCGCCATCCAACACACAAACAACAATGATGGTATCAAAGAACGAGATGCACTTCAAGGCCAGTTTCACACATACTGTATGCAG